ACTCAAGAAGCACAGGTAAGCAATCTACATAAGACAAAATTCACTCTTAATCCCTGGTAAATTGAGATTTCTGGTGGCCATATCTAACCTTTTCTGATTATAAAATAATGCATTGTTAGAAAATTTTAAAATCAGAGAAATATAGGGGGAAAATTCACATAATTCCTAAATCTAGAAATATCTGAAATGAGAGTATATATTACTCTGCTTGTTTAAACATTTTTAATCAAGTTAGGATTACACTAATCAAGTTAGAATGATAGACCTGTTTCCCCCCTTTTATACTATGACCTCCTTGCTAACGTCCTTTTAAAAATCTGAAAATATAATTTTTAATGGCCATATACTATTCCAATATACAGATAAGTGTTCTGTAATTTATAAGATTACTGGCTGACCTATTAAAAATTAAGTTGTTTATAATTACTAATGTCACCTCAAATGTAATAACTTTGTACATAAATTTCAATCCATATTATTGATTCTTTTCTTAAAATAGCTTTTTAGAAGTGAATTTATTAGGTCAAAGATTATTAATATTTGGTAGTACCTCTTAGAAATACTAACTGCTATTAGGAAAGATGGTTTCACTAACAGAATATAGAGAGTTGCTATATAGTGGAATCATGCACAACATAATTTATTTTTAATTTGTAAATTGTTTGGTAATTGAAACTAAAAATTATTTTAAATTAGAGCTGTAAGTAATAAAAATAAATGCTTTAATTATATTTATAGGCTACAATCCATTTCCCATTTTGTTACGTGCCCGGGCACACCCTTTTCTCATTTTTTTCTAAGAATTAACCTTTCCAACCAAAGCAAAAATCTCTTAGTTACCTTTCTAATGGTAACCTAGAATCTGCTTGAATGATTAAGGAACTTGGAAACTCACCACTACATAATGCAAATATTTTTAAATGTTAAATGAGTTGTAAAATAAAAATATTTTAAACAGAACTGAATAAAACCTACAAATATGTACTGCTAATTCCCATACTTAATTTTTAAAAATCTCTAAGAATTTAACTGTAGCAACTTGATTAAGCATAATTTTACTTGTCTTAACCCCAAAGTTAAAAGTTTTTTTTTCATTTGAACACAAGAATAGATATTTATAACTTTTTATTTTTTTTTTATTTTTTTTTTTAAATCAATCTTTATTGTTCATATTATTACAAAGGTTCCTCATTTCTTCCCCCCTCCACCAGGTTCCCACCCCACCCTCCGTCCCCCCCCCATCCCCCATTGTCCTCATCCATAGGTACAGTTTATGTTCAGTCTCTTCTTCCCTCAATTTCCCCAATAGTAAATCCCTTTTCAGATAGTAAATCAGTTCCTTAGCATTTTCTCATATCAATAATACCTCCACATGCCCAATGATACACTTCACACAAAAGACATTTCCCACTAGGTCAACCAGCCTCATCCAGGCCCCACCCAAGGCACTCACAGATCAACACCCCAGTCCTAAACTAACTCAACACATCCAGATCTAAGCCTTCATCACTTGATTCAGCAGCCCCTCAAGTTCCCACGAAAGTTTCCAGCCATGTCTGAGAAGCAGCCGTGGGGCAGGGGCAGGCAAGGAGCGAGCTGTTCTGGGCCTGGCTGCTCAGGGCCTGGCCTCTGTTGCTCTGGTTCATTCCACAACCAGCTGCTCCGGGTCTGGTCACTGCCGCTCCCGACCTAGTTGCTGTGGACTTGGCTGCTGCTCCAGGCCTGGCCGCTCCCAGCCTGGCAGCCGCTGCTCCGGGCCTGGCCGCACCCGACCCGCCTGCTCCCCCGGGCCTGGCCGCTCCCAGCCTGGCAGCCGCTGCTCCGGGCCTGGCCGCACCCGACCCGCCTGCTCCCCCGGGCCTGGCCGCTCCCAGCCTGGCAGCCGCTGCTCCGGGCCTGGCCGCACCAGCCCCGCCTGCTCCCCCGGGCCTGGCCGCTCCCAGCCTGGCAGCCGCTGCTCCGGGCCTGGCCGCACCCGACCCGCCTGCTCCCCCGGGCCTGGCCGCTCCCAGCCTGGCAGCCGCTGCTCCGGGCCTGGCCGCACCAGCCCCGCCTGCTCCCCCGGGCCTGGCCGCTCCCAGCCTGGCAGCCGCTGCTCCGGGCCTGGCCGCACCCGACCCGGCTGCTCCCCCGGGCCTGGCCGCTCCCAGCCTGGCAGCCGCTGCTCCGGGCCTGGCCGCACCCGACCCGCCTGCTCCCCCGGGCCTGGCCGCTCCCAGCCTGGCAGCCGCTGCTCCGGGCCTGGCCGCACCCGACCCGCCTGCTCCCCCGGGCCTGGCCGCTCCCAGCCTGGCAGCCGCTGCTCCGGGCCTGGCCGCACCAGCCCCGCCTGCTCCCCCGGGCCTGGCCGCTCCCAGCCTGGCAGCCGCTGCTCCGGGCCTGGCCGCACCCGACCCGGCTGCTCCCCCGGGCCTGGCCGCTCCCAGCCTGGCAGCCGCTGCTCCGGGCCTGGCCGCACCCGACCCGGCTGCTCCCCCGGGCCTGGCCGCTCCCAGCCTGGCAGCCGCTGCTCCGGGCCTGGCCGCACCCGACCCGCCTGCTCCCCCGGGCCTGGCCGCTCCCAGCCTGGCAGCCGCTGCTCCGGGCCTGGCCACACCAGCCCCGCCTGCTCCCCCGGGCCTGGCCGCTCCCAGCCTGGCAGCCGCTGCTCCGGGCCTGGCCGCACCAGCCCCGCCTGCTCCCCCGGGCCTGGCCGCTCCCAGCCTGGCAGCCGCTGCTCCGGGCCTGGCCGCACCAGCCCCGCCTGCTCCCCCGGGCCTGGCCGCTCCCAGCCTGGCAGCCGCTGCTCCGGGCCTGGCCGCACCCGACCCGGCTGCTCCCCCGGGCCTGGCCGCTCCCAGCCTGGCAGCCGCTGCTCCGGGCCTGGCCGCACCCGACCCGGCTGCTCCCCCGGGCCTGGCCGCTCCCAGCCTGGCAGCCGCTGCTCCGGGCCTGGCCGCACCCGACCCGCCTGCTCCCCCGGGCCTGGCCGCTCCCAGCCTGGCAGCCGCTGCTCCGGGCCTGGCCACACCAGCCCCGCCTGCTCCCCCGGGCCTGGCCGCTCCCAGCCTGGCAGCCGCTGCTCCGGGCCTGGCCGCACCAGCCCCGCCTGCTCCCCCGGGCCTGGCCGCTCCCAGCCTGGCAGCCGCTGCTCCGGGCCTGGCCGCACCAGCCCCGCCTGCTCCCCCGGGCCTGGCCGCTCCCAGCCTGGCAGCCGCTGCTCCGGGCCTGGCCGCACCCGACCCGGCTGCTCCCCCGGGCCTGGCCGCTCCCAGCCTGACAGCCGCTGCTCCGGGCCTGGCCGCACCAGCCCCGCCTGCTCCCCCGGGCCTGGCCGCTCCCAGCCTGGCAGCCGCTGCTCCGGGCCTGGCCGCACCAGCCCCGCCTGCTCCCCCGGGCCTGGCCGCTCCCAGCCTGGCAGCCGCTGCTCCGGGCCTGGCCGCACCTGACCCGGCTGCTCTGGGCCCGGCTGCCCCGGGCCCGACCGCTCCGAGCCTGGCCACTCCCGACCTGGATGCTCTGGGCTTGGCTACTGCTGTTCTGGGTCTGGCTGCTCCCACCCCGGCTGCTCTGGGCCCGGCTTCTTCGGGCCCGGCCACTCCGGGTCTGGGTGTTCCTGGACTGGCCACCCTGGGCTTGGCCGCCTCCGCCTCATGCCTGGCTGCCACTGCCCCAGGTCTGGCTACTCCAGTGCTGGCTGTTGATGCTCTGGTTCTGGCTGCTGTTGTTCTGGTGCCTGGCCGTTGCTGCTCCGGGTCTGGCTGCCACTGCCTTGTGCCTGGCCACTCTAGGCCTGGCCGCCGCGTTCCAACATTCTGTCCTTTTTTTTTTCTTTTTAAAACGCATTTATGTTGCAATGTTGGCTGGTGAGTTGAGTTCTGACTTAGTCTTTGATTTTTCAAGATCTTCTTTGTATTCTTTCTTAAGTAATTTTACTATTTTTTGCTCTCACTTGATTTCTTCACATTGAGAACTTCTTTGGTTTCTTCCTCCTTGTCCTGGGAGCTCAGCAGGTTGGCCTGTGGCACCCCTTTGTTCTCCGCGGGCTCCTGTGCTGCTTCAGCCTGTTGCCAGGACGGCGCCGCCCAGGAAGCAGCCCCCGGCCTTGGCTCCATTGCCCGAGCTCAGTGGTCAAAGGCTCAGGGGCACCCACGCCCCCAGGGGCCTCGTGGCCCGCCTCCTTGCTGGTGCCCGGTTGGCTGGAGTCCGGCAGGGGCTTCCGCTCCCCTCCGCGTTCCCCCAGCCTAGAGCTTTTTTTTTCTCCTTCCCACTAGGGAAGTCCAGCATCAGAGTCAACAGACTGTCCTCTGCGCGCAGTTTGCGCGAGTCCCGGGAGCCCGGCCTTTCGCCGCTCTCCCCGGACTCCACCTCACAGCCCCGTCTCCCTCTGCCTGAGCCTGGGTCCCCAGGGATTGGCCCAGAACTGGGTTCGGAGCAGTCCGGACTGAGGCTCAGCGCCGCCGGAGGCCTTGTTTCTTCCAGCTAGGGCAACCCAGCATCAGAGTCAACATTCAGTCCTCTGCGCGCATTGCGCGCGACTCCCGGGGCCCTGCCTTTTGCCGTTTTTCCGCCTCACGGCCCTGTCTCCTCCCGCCGGAGCCTGGGTCCCCAGGGTCTGGCCCATAACTGGGGCTCAGCGCTGCCGGTTCGGGGGGGCTCAGCGCTGCCGGTTCGGGGGTTCAGCCCAGGCTGGGGGTTTTATTTCCTTCCTGCTAGGGAAGGAAAGTCAGCACCCCGCCCTCTCCTCCTCTCCGGCTGCGACCTCTCCGTGCGCGTGCGGGCGGGCAGGCGCGCGCAGCATGTCTCCGTACCTTAGGCTTTTTTTCAGCTCCTCTGATTTTCTTTCTGGTTTTCTCTTTCCTTCTTGTTGTAGAAATTTCAGTCAGTCGACTACCTGTAGCTCTGGGCAATGTCCACTCTACATTTTAGTTGTATTCCATTGAAATTGTTGTGTGCTGCCGCGGCTAGATGTCTACCCGAGCAGCCATCTTGGATCCTCCCCCTCAATCTTCAGTTTTCTTCTACCCTTCAAAAGGAGACCCCAACTGGTATTTTCCACTAAAAAATTTTGGCAATGAAAATACGAGTGCTCCCAGTCCTATCATAAAAGATGCAAATGCAAGCCATCTTGGTTTGTGTCCTCTTTCGCCAATATATGAAACAAATAAAGACAACAAGCAGAATGCGATATCATAGCTTGATGATATCAGGCCAGTTAGGGAACTCTTCATTTCATAGCGCTTCTCAATAGTAGAAATACTAATATTTACTAGGCCATTTACCACAACACCTTGGATGAGGGCCAGGAGGCAGTAGTGGATCAGAAAGCCCTGCGGCGTGTTGCAGGGCTGCAGGCACCGGGGTGTGAAGCTGCCCCACCCGCACAGCCCCTCCAGCTCCGACCGCGACTCCGGCCCGGCCGGCGCTCGGGGGTCCGGGGCCGCGGCGGCCGGCAGCGGGGGCTGCGGGGGCTGCAGGGGCTCCGGTGGCTCGGGCGGCAGCGAATTCTCCGTCCGGGCGCCGGCGGGCAAGGCGGGCACCTCGACGGGAGAGGGCGATGCGGAGACGCGGCGGCGCGGGGTGTCAGGGCTGGAGCTGAGGAAAGCCGGGTTCTCAATGCCTCCGCCGCGCTTCATGGTCCGGACGGGTTCCCCCCTTCTATTTATAACTTTCTAAAGTTTGCCATTTTGGCTTAATTTACAGTTTTTTTTTATTTTTTATTTTTTTATTTCAGAGGAAGGAAAAAGGAGAGACAAATATCTATGAGAGAGAATCAGCAATTGACTGCCTCTTGCATGCCCCCTACTGGGGACTGAGCCCAGGTATGTGCCCTTGACCATAAGGGAACCCAGGACCCTTTAGTCTGCAGGCCAACGCTCTATCCACTGAGCCAAACCAGCTAGGTCTTAATTTATGGTTTAGATATTTGCATTATTCCTACCTCAACTCCCCAAAATAATGGGACTATATTTAAAATTTTAAGAAATAATTTATATTTCCAAAAATCTCAATAAATATTTGCTAAATTTAATCTCTTGTCATTTCCTGCAAATTATTAAAATCCTAAGATAAAGGCTTAAATTAAATGCCTATGTTTGTTTACCTGCATATTGAAACAGATCCAAGCAAGTATACTACTAAAGCACTGTGTGAGAAGTACGGTATTTCTTTTTTTTAATATATTTATTGATTTTTTTTACAGAGAGGAAGGGAGAGGGATAGAGAGCTAGAAACATCGATGAGAGAGAGACATTGCCCAGCTGCCTCCTGCACATCCTCACCGATCTACATGCCCTTGACCAAAATCGAACCTGGGACCCTTCAGTCCACGGACCAACACTCTATCCACTGAGCCAAACCGGTTTCAGCTGTGTGAGTATTGTCAACTTCAGAAAACCAACCTCAACCGATTCTTTTAAAAAAATAAAGTACCTATTTTAATTACATTTACCTGAACACAGAAAAGGTTAAATAATATAAAACCAACAGCTGTTCTTTGTTAACAGCTATGTGCAAGGCAGTGTTCTAAGTGCTTTCACAATGGTTCAACATAAAATTTGTTTACTTTACCATAGTGTGACATGCACTCACACTATGCACTCAGCAGAAAACGTACTGCAAATTTTGAGTTTTCATTGTTTCCCAGGCTACCAACATGTAGCAGCAGCCAGTCATAGCTCCTAGTCAACGATGCAATAACGAGAGTAAACAACTGCTACACATACAACTATTCTATACCCATACAACCATTGTTTTCCCTTTCAAATAAAGTATTTAAAAAATTAGAAGATATTCAATACTTTATTATTATTATTATTATTATTGGCTTTGTTCTGAGCATATTTAAGAAAGGTTAGGCTAAGCTATGAAATTTGACAGGTTAATTATAACTGCATTTCAACTTAATGATATTTTCAACTATGATAGGTTTGCTGGGACTGTAAATCAAGAAAGATCTGCAACAAATTATTTCACTTAATATTTTCAACAATATAAATTAGTGTCCATTGTTTCCATTTTATGACTGAGAAAAATGAGATGGCAGAAGTGTTTTAAGTAATAATTTCTGGATATTATCATTAAATTTAAACAGCAATGTAAAAACTATATCATCAACAAAAAATCTAATTAAGAAGTCACCAAAAATTCTAATCTCCCATTTCCTTCTCAAGTTTGTTGTTGTTTTAAAATATATTTTTATTGATTTCAGAGAGAAAGGAAGAGGGATAGAAACATCAATGATAAGAGAGAATCACTGATTGGCTGCCTCCTTCACATCCCCTACTAGAGATTGAGCCAGCAACCGGAGCACATGTCCTTGACCAGAATCATACAGGGACCCTTCAGTCTGCAGGCCAATGCTTTATCGACTAAGGCAAACAGCTAGAGCTGTTGTTTTAAACTTCTACTCTTTTTCTAAATACTAGTAGTCATTCACAATGGGTGATTTTCGTGAGAAACCAGGGTCAAAAGCAAACATCTGCGTTTACAAACTGGTACTTGGAAGCTCAAAATCAAACTTCTCATAAACAAAATATTACAAATGGGGTTTTGCGTTCCAGGATAGCACCTAGGACATATTTTTACCCATAATATAACTTAAAAAAGGAAATCTAGAATCTAAACACTTACACAAACAATGCAAACACTATATTCTATATCTCAACACCAGACCTAACTGTACCCATATTATTAACTATAGATCCCTAGTACTGGGGAAAACTGGATATCCAATGCAAAATAAACAAACAGAAAAGAAGCTGGATCCTTATCTTACACCATATACAAAAAGTAACAAAAAAAAATGGACCAAAGATCTTAAGAACTAAAACAAAAGTTTTAGAATACAGGGGAAAGGTCTTGACATTGGATTTGATAGTGATTTCTTGGATAGGACATCAAAAGCATAAAGGGAAAAAAATAAATTGGACAGCACCAAAATTAAAACTTTTGCCCTGGCCAGGTGGCTCAGGTGGTTGGAAAGTTGTCCAGTAGACCAAAAAGGTTGGGGGTTCAACCCCCAGTTAGGACTTAACCAATGGAAGGCAACCAATCAATGTTTTGTTTTTTTTCTCACATCAATGTCTCTCTCTCTCTCCTCCCTTCCGGGGCAATCAATGATTCTCTCTATCCCTCTCACTTCCTCTCTCTCTACAATCAACAACATTTTTTTTTTTTTTTAAAAAGGCTCACTAAAAAACCCCACACATACAAGTAAGTGGATAAACAAAATATATTAGTATAGCCGAAGCTGGTTTGGCTCAGCGGTAGAGCGTTGGCCTGCGGACTGAAAGGTCCTAGGTTCGATTCCAGTCAAGGGCATGTATGTTGGTTGCGGGCACATCCCCGGTAGAGGGTGTGCAAGAGGCAGCTGGTCGATGTTTCTCTCATCGACGTTTCTAGCTCTCTATCTCTCTCCCTTCCTCTCTGTAAAAAATCAATAAAATATATTTTATATATATATATATTAGTATATATACACAGTGAAATATTATACAGCCTTAAAAAGGAAATTCTGGGCCCTTGCCAATAACTCAGAGGGTTAGAGTGTCATCCAGATGCACCAAGGTAAAGGTTTCCATTAGGGTGACAGACAAGGGCTCTGGAATGGGAAAACAAATTTTCCCCCCTTTTTAAATAAAATATAATGAAAAGTGGAAGGATAGATAGAATGGGAACAGAGGTAAGATATACCAAAAGGTACCAAGTAAAATTTGCCTTCCTATTCTGCCTTTTAAATATTTACTTCTTGCAAAATAATCTATAGACAAAAATAACAAATAAATAATAAATCATTGGGTATATGAAATATAGAAATATTTAATCTAAATTCAGAATTAAAAATTTAGTATATACTTTATTTTCTGGACATTTCATAACAGGAAATGGAAGAATAAGCAGGGTAGGGGGGAAAAGGGGTTCTGGGAAAAGACAAAAACTGTAGGAGGCACTGATCACAAGTTAGTCTGGAGGGAACTGCGTTTGGGGAAGAGGAAAATGAAATCTATGGACAGTTGGGAAATTATTCTCATATTCTCTTTCTCTCTCTTTTTTTTACAATAAATCTAGCCAATTTGAATGCTTTCCTTTGGTCTAAACCAGCTATTTTCAATCTTTTTCATCACATGGCACATATAAACTACTAAAACTGCAGCACACCAAAAAAGTATATTATATTTTTTGCTGATCTGACAAAACAAATAGGTATAATTTTGATTCATTCACACTGGATGGCTATTGTTGTGTTGGCTGTTGTCATTTTTTTTAATTTGACAATCTAAGGGAAAGAAGGTCAGTGTCACTGACTAAACAGTCAGATATTGCATGTTTCATAAATTCTTGCAGCACACCAGTTGAAAATGACTGGTCTAAACCAAGGAGAAGAGTTTTTCTCAATGTACCTGAGGCCAAAGTCACAAGATTATAAATTATAGATCCAGAAAATAAAGGAGAGCTAATTGGACTTTTGTCTAAAGATCCAGTTATATGCGTTAACTGGGCTCTGCCTATGTAATAGAAAGCTAGAAAAAAATTTCTAACAACAAAACCAAATAACAAAACTAAACTTCTTGAATCCATCAGGAGCTAAGGACTTAAAGGCAACCAAATAAAGAGCTAACAAAAGACAAGCACTTCCTGAGGAAAAAGAATGTAAACACTGGCTCACAGGTAACAGAAAGAGAGAGAAGATGGTGGGCGGTACCATAAAAGTAGGTAAAAAAATTTAATCTAAAAATGTTAATAAGCTTGTTGGGGCTAGCATAGCATGTAGTTCCTGAGTTATAGACACAATAGGAATCCAAATCTATTTGTAGCATCTTCACCACAGACTTCCACCAGGTGCTCACAAATGGGAACCTGAGACTGGACAGTCTTCCTCTGTGGTGGAAACATTAAGCAACTCGATTTTATGAAGTCAGCATTACCATGATACCAAAACCAAAGACAACACATATTAACTGAGCCAAGTACAGGTCAGTAATTGCCTATATAATAATATATGCAATAACCTAATTTTCTTCGCCAAACTGAAAATATAAACGGAAGAGTTTTGATTGTATCGATACATTGTTACAATCAAAAGTTTGCTGAATGTAGGGATAAGAGGGAAATAAAAGTAATAAAAGTAAACTCATAAAAAGATCAGAAATGATACTTTATCTTTAGTTAGCTGTACACTGATTAGACACTGATTAAGTCATGCAATCATTCTAGCACTTCACTTCCTCAACAGCAAACAAGTTATTGGACATCAGATCTGTGAATTTCACTACATGTAAATTTTACCTAAAAGTAAGTTGTTAAAATGAGAGGTGAGTCATCAATTAATCTGAGCTGTTTTCATCCTTCTATCTCACACAACTCATCCCAAAACATTCTAATTAAGACAAACATTTACTATATGTAGTTAAAAAGTCTTCAGAATGGTTCATCGTTAATAAAATAAAGGCATTACTGGACTAGATGACCACTTCAGTCTCTCTAGCTCTAAATTTCTATGGGTTTATTTATACTCTATTACAAATCGTATCACTACTAAATTTATGTTAAAATTTATATTCGTGAAAAAAAATATCTAAAAATCATTGACTTTATTGTCACCAAATGACATTTTCAAAAGTGTCAGCATCCATTT